GAAAAAAAGAAAAAGTGGTCACAAAATGAATACAATTTTTTTTGTTTTGTCAGGCGTTTCATTATATCCATTATATTTATAGACTATATATACTATTAATTAGTTAATCAATGCAATCATCAGTTAATTCATAATTAGGTTTATATATCTTGTAGTCAATAACACTCTGTGTCCCATCGGATCCGGCAGTCAGTCCTCCCACTCGCGCGACCTCCACAGCGATGGACACACCCGTCGAGACAGCAATTGATTATATATCACGTGATAATTACCGGTTAAACACCACTTGGTTTGTGTCAATCAATACATTCATAAGATAATTATAGCCCCGAAAGATACCACACTTTTCGTGCGATATTCACGGATCAGATAACACACAACGCGAGAGACAATTGGTTTGATAAATACCTTCGGCTTTAATTCGCTTCATCTGCGGCTCGCCATTGGTTTGCAGCGACGACTCCAACGCCTGTGTCATCGCAGGAGATAATCGAGTGGTTAATCACCGGACAATAGGTCCCAAAGAGGGAGGGAGAGAGAGAGAGACAATACAAACAATACATACATTGGTCTCCATATCGCCGTTCATTTGGTTCAACATATCCGGCGGCGATGTCTGATACCCGCTGGCGATGGTCTCGACAGTCGATGTCTTCGCGGCGGTGATGGCGATGACGGGCGAAGACAGTGATCGCTATTATCGACGACTAAATTGCGGCTAAAATGCGCTCAAAATATATGAAACAAAATAATAAAATCACAAAAACGTGTGAATTATATGTGAATCGGCCGTCAAATGGGTGCTAATAGTGAGCGTCCAATGGGTGTGTAATACACACTAAACGCTGGGATTTAAGCACAAAACTAATTGCTATTAAATTGTTAGCGTTTTGTAAACCATTCACTCAATTATGCAATCGTTTTGGTAGTCAATAGACAAATGAACGCCTGATAAGTAGTATGCGTTTTGTAATGCTTTCGTATTGTACACTATATAATACACATTTGTAATACACGTTTCGGGACCGACGAGTCAATGGATAACGTACTAAAGGGCGTAAGTAATGTGTGTGAAATGCAACGTGTTACGCTATTATTTCAAGCAAATATTGTCGGCACAATTGATTGCACCAAAAATGTCTCACAACTGCTTGATAAGTATTGGCAATAGATGGCAATACAATTACATGCATATGTCATTCATATAAAATATTACACACACAATATCTTGCCCCTGAATAATACCCCGCGTGTAGTTCCTATGTAATTACCCGTCATACAATTATACACATCTCCCTATACTTCGTAACAGTATATTAGAATACTCCACTAATGATAAACATGTGTTTGATTGAAAAATTCAAAATACAATCACTTTTTGAAATGCAAACACAAATCACACGTCATTTCGGTGATTGTGTCCACAATTTAAGGCAAAATTAAAAGTTTTTCAAAACACTTGCGATTGAGTTGTAAAAAGTTTTTTATAATGAGTTTTGCGCCCAAATTCACATGAAATCGGTTTATAATCGTTGTCAACATTTATTACAATTTAGTTTTAGCCATAAGTTCAACGATTTGTGTCCGAAGACTACCGCAAATCGTTTGATGAGTACATCGATGACCACACCGTTGGCCGAGTCATCGCCGGTGGCGGCGGTGGTCGACAGTCACGACGACACGGATCCCAAGACAGACACCGATAGCGGACAGTCGGCCGCCAAGCGTCTGAAGACTGACGACAACAACGGCGAGCCGTCATCGACGGCCAACACCGGCGCCGATGGTGTGACACAATCGGCGCTCACCGCCGACGCGGACCTCAAGAAGGACTTCAAACGAGAAAAGTTGCGGAAATGGGCTCTTTTGCTGAGCTATTGCGGGCACCGGTACTACGGTATGCAGCGTCAGACCAAGTATGACAAGCCTTTCCCCCACACCATGTGTTGATATAATACCCACTAATGTCTTGTGTGTAATGCCTTCAGAGACGCGGAGTTCCCGACCGTAGAGTACCGGCTGTTTGACGCCCTCCGCAAGAGTGGTGTCATAAATGAGGAGAAGTTTTCGGCGCAACACTTGTGTCGGTTCCAGAGGGCGGCGCGAACTGACCGCGGGGTCAGTGCCATCAAACAGATCGTCTCGCTATTGCTTCCCGTGGACTTCGCGGACCACTTGGACGCCGTCAACGGCCACTTACCCGACGACATACGACTCGTCGACTGTCTCCGAGTGACGAAGTTCTTCGACGCCAAGAACTACTGCGACGGCCGCACCTACAGCTACCTCATGCCCACCTACGCCTTGTGTCCCATTGAGGCGAACACGTGCGCCGCCTATCGACTTGCGCCGGACGTCAGGGAGCGGTTCAACGAGACGCTAAGGGCCTACTTAGGCACTCATAACTACCACAACTTCACGTCGGGTAAGGCGCCCACCGATCCCAGCGCCATGCGCTACATAGTGTCCATGGAGTGCAGTGAGCCGTTCCTGATGTCGGCCGTGGAGTTCGTGGTGGTCCGGGTGAAGGGCCAGTCGTTTATGTTGCATCAGATCCGCAAAATGATTGGTTTGGCGATCGCTGTGGTCCGGGGTATCGCCGGCGGCGAGACGATCGTCAGGGCGTTCGGGACGACCCGTATAGACATACCGAAGGCGCCGGGTTTGGGGCTACTGCTCGAGGAGGTCCACTACGACAAGTATAATGACAAGTATGGCGGCGATGGCGTACACGAGCCCATCGTGTGGGAGGCGAAGAAGGCGGCAATCGATGAGTTCAANCCCCCACCGGCCCCGGGTAATCCCCCACCGGCCCCGGGTAATCCCCCACCGGCCCCGGGTAATCCCTCACCGGCTCCGGCCAATCCCCCACCGGTCCCGACCACCACTAACCGTCGTAATAGTAAATTCATAGATTATTTACTAGCATTTTTCATCTTTCTCTCTCTCTCTCTCTCTCACTCACTCACTCACTCACTCACTCGCTCGCTCGCTCGCTCTCATCACTTATCCATTCATTTCTAAATAACAGATACTAAATGTAAAATAACTTACAAGTGACCAGGGATATCATGATTAGTAAGCTTACATAAGGAACCATTGTTAATTAGTATATTAAATATACCTATTATATTATTAATGATTGACTATTGACTACAATTCTTACTGACTTGTTATATGGCTAACAGAACACAGACAGTAAATGTTTAATTAAATTTTTGCTTAACTAAAAAATAATTTAATTAGAATTTAATTAATTATGAAAAATATGGGAGTACCACAAAATCCCGAAAAACAAAACCCTGAAAACAAAATCCCGAAAAATATAATATCTATATAAATAATTATTTTATATTTTATATAATGTAAAACTCATTTTTATTATTAGTATAATTTTTTAAAACTAATTATTGTAGTGTCATACTTGTAAGTAAATATTTCATCAACTTTTCAATATTGTCTTAATTTGATGAGTTTTAATACAAATAAACCACTAACTAACTGGTAATTAATTATTCTTTAAGTATCATTAAGTTTTAAATTCATGAAAAGTAATTTTAATTATTTATATAGATATTATAATTTTCGGGATTATGAGTTTCGGGATTTTGTTAGGGTACCGAAAATATATCACTAATAAATACGTATACGTATACGTGTTCAGTTAAAATTCATTGTAATTGTAAACCAGGTTTGCTTACGTATAAATTGTATTTTTTAATATCTACAGTATTTGAGTGAGATTTTATAACAAATTGAATATATTTACTATTAATAAACATTTTAAAATATTTGAATTTATATTATTACGAAGTCCACCTTATAATTATCATGTTAACAATTAATTTTATTACTGTATAAATAGACTAAATCATGACAACATCAACATAAGGATAAATAAATAAGCATTTTAATTGTGTCATTAATCAGACTAAGCTATTATACTGTACTTAAACAATAAATAAAATCATTTTCAAAAAATATTTATTTATTAATTAATTATTCAAAACATACAACACATTAATTACAAACGACAGGTATGTCATCCCCTTTAGCGGCACCGTTAGTCTCCTCACCGCCGGCTTTCTCATCACAACTGCCGTCATTCCCCTGATTCACACGCAACACATTGCTGTGAGCCCTCCATAGGGCCCCCCTCTCGGACACATCCACCCCTTCCGACAGCCTTTCATTAGCCTTCTGTTCCCTCTCATCATACGTGTGGAACACCAGTGTCTGTAACCACTCAAACATCGGCATCTCCTGGCGCTCCGTATCGGCGATCACCGGATATATGTGTTTGTGTTTGAACTCATCGATTGCCGCCTTCTTCGCCTCCCACACGATGGGCTCGTGTACGCCATCGCCGCCATACTTGTCATTATACTTGTCGTAGTGGACCTCCTCGAGCAGTAGCCCCAAACCCGGCGCCTTCGGTATGTCTATACGGGTCGTCCCGAACGCCCTGACGATCGTCTCGCCGCCGGCGATACCCCGGACCACAGCGATCGCCAAACCAATCATTTTGCGGATCTGATGCAACATAAACGACTGGCCCTTCACCCGGACCACCACGAACTCCACGGCCGACATCAGGAACGGCTCACTGCACTCCATGGACACTATGTAGCGCATGGCGCTGGGATCGGTGGGCGCCTTACCCGACGTGAAGTTGTGGTAGTTATGAGTGCCTAAGTAGGCCCTTAGCGTCTCGTTGAACCGCTCCCTGACGTCCGGCGCAAGTCGATAGGCGGCGCACGTGTTCGCCTCAATGGGACACAAGGCGTAGGTGGGCATGAGGTAACTGTAGGTGCGGCCGTCGCAGTAGTTCTTGGCGTCGAAGAACTTCGTCACTCGGAGACAGTCGACGAGTCGTATGTCGTCGGGTAAGTGGCCGTTGACGGCGTCCAAGTGGTCCGCGAAGTCCACGGGAAGCAATAGCGAGACGATCTGTTTGATGGCACTGACGCCGCGGTCAGTTCGCGCCGCCCTCTGGAACCGACACAAGTGTTGCGTCGAAAACTTCTCCTCATTTATGACACCACTCTTGCGGAGGGCGTCGAACAGCCGGTACTCTACGGTCGGAAACTCCGCGTCTCTGAAGACATTACAACAAGACATTAGTGGGTATTATCTCTGAAAACATGGTGGGAGGGGACAGGCGTGTCATACTTGGTCTGACGCTGCATACCGTAGTACCCGTGCCCGCAATAGCTCAGCAAAAGAGCCCATTTCCGCAACTTTTCCCGTTTGAAGCCCTCCTTGAGGTCGGCGCCGGCGGTGAGCGCCGATTGGGTCACACCATCTTTGCCGGTGTTGGCCGTCGATGACGGCTCGCCGTTGTTGTCGTCAGTCTTCAGACGCTTGGCGGCCGACTGTCCGCTATCGATGTCTGTCTTGGGATCCGTGTCGTCGCGACTGTCGACCACCGCCGCCACCGGCGATGACTCGGCCAACGGTGTGGTCATCGATGTGCTTATCAAACGACTTGCGGTAGTCTTCGGACACAAATCGTTCAACTTATGGCTAAAACTAAATTGCAATAAATGTTGGCAACGATTATAAACCGATTTCATGTGAGTTTGGGCGCAAAACTCATTATAAAAAACTTTTTACAACTCAATCGCAAGTGTTTTGAAAAACTTTTAATTTTGCCTTAAATTGTGGACACAATCACCGAAATCACGTGTGATTTGTGTTTGCATTTCAAAAGTCATTGTATTTTGAATTTTTCAATCAAACACATGTTTATCATTAGTGGAGTATTCAAATATACTGTTACCGAAGTATAGGGAGGTGTGTAATTGTTTGACGGGTAATTACGTAGGAACTACACGCGGGGTATTATTCAGGGGCAAGAGATTGTGTGTAATATTTTATATGAATGTAATTGTATTGCCATCTATTGCCAATACATATCAAGCAGTTGTGAGACATTTTTGGTGCAATCAATTGTGCCGACAGTATTTGCTAGAAATAATAGCGTAACACTTTGCATCTCACACATATTACTTACGCCCTTTAGTAAGTTATCCATTGACTCGTTGGCCCCGAAACGTGTATTACAAATGTTTTTAATATAGCCTACAATGCGATAGCATTACAAAACGCATACTACTTATCAGTCGTTCATTTGTCTATTGACTACCAAAACGATTGCATAATTGAGTGAATGGTTTACAAAACGCTAACAATTTAATAGCAATTAGTTTTGTGCTTAAATCCCAGCGTTTAGTGTGTATTACACACCCATTGGACGCTCACTATTAACACCCATTTGACGGCCGATTCACATATAATTCACACGTTTTTGTGATTTTATATTTTGTTTCATATATTTTGAGCGCATTTTAGCCGCAATTAGTCGTCGATAATAGCGATCACTGTCTTCGCCCGTCATCGCCATCACCGCCGCGAAGACATCGACCGTCGAGACCATCGCCAGCGGGTATCAGACATCGCCGGCGGATATGTTGAACCAAATGAACGGCGATATGGAGACCAATGTATGTATTGTTTGTATTCTCTCTCTCTCTCACTCTCTCTCACTCTCCCTCTTTGGGACCTATTGTCCGGTGATTAACCACTCGATTATCTCCTGCGATGACACAGGCGTTGGAGTCGTCGCTGCAAACCAATGGCGAGCCGCAGATGAAGCGAATTAAAGCCGAAGGTATTTATCAAACCAATTGTCTCTCGCATTGTGTTACTGTTATCTGATCCGAGAATATCGCACGAAAAGTGTAGTATCTTTCGGGGCTATGATTATCTTATGAATGTATTGATTGCCACAAACCAAGTGGTATTTAACCGGTAATTATCACGTGATATATAATCAATTGCTGTCTCGACGGGTGTGTCCATCGCTGTGGAGGTCGCGAGAGTGGGAGGACTGACTGCCGGATCCGATGGGACACAGAGTGTTATTGACTACAAGATATATAAACCTAATTATGAGTTAACTGATGATTGCATTGATTAACTAATTAATAGTATATATAGTCTATAAATATAATGGATATAATGAAACGCCTGACAAAACAAAAAAAATTGTATTCATTTTGTGACCACTTTTTCTTTTTTTCTTTTTTCTCGTATCGTTTCAGAAGTACTGATCAAATGTTGTGATCTTCTAATCACTTAAAATAAATGGACACAAATTGCAGACACAATACTCACGCGCTTCGTTGCGATCATTAATAACACTTTAAAACAAAACAATGAGTTTTATAATGAAAACCACTGTTTTTGCCGTAAAAAGCAGTGCCGTTGTTGTGGCGGTTATTATCCACTTATTTGCTAAATATCTATATAACTAATTGATTAAATGAATCGCAAATTAGTTGTCAAGTTATGTAACCCACACACGATGAGCTTGATAACTGATTTGCATTTTTTCATAACCAATGTCCTATTGAGCGGCAAATGTTTTTCATTCGGTTTTTTGTTTTTTCTTCTCTTTTATTACTCTTTTAGTTGTGTTTAAAAAAGGTCTCAAAAAATCAGAGCCAAAAAACACCAACTCATGAGTGCTCTTGCGATGTATCTCTTGAGCCGCTTCTCTGTTGTGTATCGGATGTCACTTAAGTGGTAAACCATATATAATATGTCAATGATATGAACCGACGATTTGGCCGCACCATTACTCTCACTCATAATATATTTGTTTGTTTTTACTTAAATATAACTCTAAATATTTAGTCAATTCATTGCTATTTCTGTTTATTATTATTATATATTTTTCATTATTATTTTTATTATTATACAGTAGTTACAGGTATTATCAAAACAAAAACCGTTTTATTCACTGAGTTTTCTTTCCGTTTTTATAAAACCCGTTGTATTGAACGCGTGAACCGATTTGACTAATCTATACATCCCTTTCCCGTCCGCGCTATAGATGACGCATCGGTGGCCGACCTGACGGCCGCCCAACAGACTGGCCTCCTGTTGGCGGGTCCCGGCGCTCTGCGGGCCTCGGAAATAGCGGCCGGTCTCGTGAAGCTCTCTGCGGATCAGCTGGAATTGGTGAGCAAAGCCAAGAAGTACGCGATGGAGCAGTCGATTAAGTCGGTGCTCGTGAAGCAGACGATAGCCCATCAGCAGCAGCAACAGAAGTCGCTGCAGAGGCACCAGGCGTTGGTACTCATGTGCCGCGTATACGTCGGTAGCATCAGCTTCGAGCTCAAGGAGGACACCATACGGCAGGCGTTTGTACCGTTCGGACCGATAAAGTCGATAAACATGTCGTGGGATCCGATCACTCAGAAGCATAAGGGCTTCGCGTTCGTCGAGTACGACCTCCCGGAGGCGGCGCAGCTGGCGTTGGACCAGATGAATGGGGTGATGATCGGCGGCCGCAACATCAAAGTGGGCCGACCCTCGAACATGCCTCAGGCGGCGCCCATCATCGAGCAGCTCCAGCACGAGGCCAAGTCGTACAACAGGATCTACATCGCGTCCATACACCAGGACCTGAGCGAAGCGGACATACAGTCGGTGTTCGAGGCGTTCGGGCGGATCAAGTGCTGCAAACTGACGCCCAGCCAATACCCGGGTAAGCACAAGGGCTACGGGTTCATAGAGTACGAGCAGAACCAGTCGGCCACCGACGCCATTGGGTCCATGAATCTGTTCGACTTGGGCGGGCAGTACCTGCGCGTGGGCCGCGCCATAACGCCGCCCAACTGTTTCGACGGTCCGGGGGCACCGCCGCCCAGCACTATGCCTACGGCGGCGGCGGTGGCTGCGGCCGCCGCCACGGCTAAGATACAGGCGATGGACGCCGTGGCGAGTCTCGGGCCCAACCAGAACGGCAACGGCGCGACGATACCGCCGCCCGTGTTAGCGCTTCCCACGCCCATAGGGCTGACCACCGGCTCGGCGGCCGCCCTCAGCATCGCTTCCAATCCCATGC